GCTGCTCCTTTAGTCTCCCCCACTTCATAATTTAGGGTGCCAACCATTGGATGAGCTCAAGCTTGCCAAGGTACATTCCCTTCCCCACTGGGTGCTCCACAGCAGACCCAGTTCTGGGAGACCACTCAGCCCTCAGTGCAGTTCTAACAGGTCTAGCCCAAAGGCCTTCAGGCTAATCAACTTCAGATTACCTTGGAACATGCTTTCTCTTTGTTTGTTTGAACACATTTTGAAGGAGATCCAGGTGCTGGGGGTGGAGTGAGGCTCCTGAGTGCATTATTAAGCTTTCTCAGGGAAGTAAGATCAGGGTGGTAAGGGAAAAAGAGCACCAGCTTTGGAATCAGATAAAAGCGAAGTTTGGAACCTGGCTCTACCACCCACAGCAATGCCGTCTTGGAAAAAGTGCCCATGATTCTTGAGTAACCATTTCCTTCTCTAAGGTTTGGAAGGGTTTCTTTGAAAAGTAGAGACACCGAAAGGAAATTGCATGGCACATAATACACATTCAATAACAGGACTCATTATATTCATCTGGGTGAGTCCTTTCTCCAGAAAGTGGATGGATCGCTGAATAGGAGATCTTCTATCCAAAAATCTTACTTCCCACTCATCCAATCTTACCAGTTACTCTCTTCACATTTTCTTCTCTTTCCTCTTCATTATTTAAGAAAAAAAAAATTGGGTGGGCACGGTGGCTCATGCCTATAACCCCAGCACTTTGGGAGACTGAATCAAGAGGGTTGTTTGATCCTAGGAGTCTGAGGCCAGCTGGGGCAACATAGTGAGTCTCTCTATCTACAAAAATACAAAATAAAATAGCTGGACATGGTAGTCCATGCCTGTGGTCCCTGCTACTCAGGAGGCTGAGGCAGGAGAATTGCTTGAGTCCAGGAGGTCGAGGCTGCCGTGAGCTATGATCACACCACTGCACTCCAGCCTGGATGACAGAGTGAGACCCTGTCTCCAAAGAAAAACAGAAAAAAAATTATAAAGAAGTAACTTTAGCATAGTGATCATTCTAGATGTCTCTTTTTCCAAATGAATTGGCCTGAAAATCCTTCATCCCTGCATAGTACTTACAAAGAGTGTTTGCTTACACTGTATCTGTAACTTCATAACAACCCCATGAAAAATGTTTTATCTCTCATTTTAAGAAAAAAGAAACTGATACTCAGGAGAGGGTAAATTACTTGGTCAAGTTCCCATAGATAGAAAGCAGGAAAGCTTGGTTTCAAATCAAGATCCTCTGATTCCTTTTTACATGTTCTGTTACATTATTCAAAAAGGAAACTCTGAAACCATTGTCAGCCTTTGATACAGATGTTTCTTGAATTGGCTGGCAGAGAATAGGGCTTTTAAGAAGTGCTCATAGGACAAGTAAGTCTGGTTGGAGGGAAGAGTCGGACACGGTAGTGATCTGGAATTTGGAGTCCTAAGAAGTAGGTAGGGGTGCCAGTGGCGTTTCCTAAGAAGTAAAGAGGTAGAATGAGAGCACTCATGTCATGAAATGTGGTGTACCAAAGAAAGGAAACGTACCTGAAAGAGATATGGAAGAGTATGGAAAAGACACTTTCCCAAAGCTATAATTTCACCTTGGGCCAATCCCAGCTCTCTTCTTTACTATATTGACTTCATAAACCTCTCCAACTTTTTCATGGCCTTTTCTCAGGAATCCTGTCACCTATAAGAATGTAGTCCACTTTGCTCATAGACTAGAAATGGCTGGGGACATAGCAGAATGAAAGCGCATGGTCCCAGGTGACGCGATCTGGAAAGAGACAGTCTGGTGAAGGGATTAGGAGGAAAAAAACTCTCTGGTGACTGAGTAGGCACAGGTCAGCACAATGCCAGGAGAGGGGGAGAGGGCTACCAGGTAGCTGAAGTGAATACAGCCCCCAGATTTCAAGAACGTAAACCTTGAGGGTATTTGAAGAAAAAGGAGTATGCAGCTAAATACAGGTGAGAATAGAAAGATTCGCAGAAACAGCATTTAAGAGTGAGGACAATCAAAATCAGATGTGTCAGAGGATAATGAGTCAGGAGGAGCGTGTTTGTGTGTACTTGTGTGTGTGTACTTGTTTGTGTGAACAGATGACAATATGACCATAGCAGCTTCAACCCCACTTCCTGTTGAAGAGCATTTGTATGTCACTAAAGGTACAGTTCAAGGGATGGGAACATAGAATGTTAGAACTAGAAGGAATCTTTGATAATTTCACATAAATTGAGGTCATGGGAATTGAGTAACTGGCCTAAAGTCACACAGCTACTCAGTGGCATTGCTAGCATGCCTCTGTACGCTTCACTGGCTTTGGCACAGAGTCAGAAAAATACTTCAGCAAGGAATCGGAGGAAAAGAATTAAAAAGGTTCTTCAAAAGCCACCAACCAACAGCATAAACATGCAGACAGAAAGGAGAGGGGAAAATGTTCAGGAAGCACAAGTTGAGTTATGAAAACTCCACACAAAAAGACAATTTAGGCTTAGGAAAAACAGATACTCAAAGCAGAAAAGGCACAAGACACTGCCTCAGAAAGACACACACAAAAAACCAAAAAACTGTAATTCTATGGACAGCTTGATGCCAGAGTGTGATAATAAAATGCACACCATAAATATTTGATTTTGCATGAAGAAATACAGGGAACTGGTTTGCTGAGAGGAAGGAGGTTTGGATGGTCACTGAAATTTAAATCAAAAAAGAGGATGAATAAACCTAGTTTGTTAAGTGAAAGCCTGCAGTTGGGTGTTCCAAAAAGGGACCTCCAGTAGGTTTTTCAGTGATTTATAAATACACATAGACAGTTTCAGAAACAAAGAGTCTATGAGAGCTATAAACTAGGCCTTGGGTTTCATTCTTGCCCCAGAAATGATTAGAAATAAAATACCTGTTTAACAAGTATTAAGTACTCATCATGTGCTGACACCTAAAATCGCAAAACTTTAAACAAAATAAGATTAAAGCAAAATTGTAACATTGTAGTGTCGGGTTTATAATATACAGAGATGTGATACATGTGACAACGAATTAATGTGACATCTTTATCAAATAGATATAAATGACAAAGGGGTAGGTGATAAGTTGATCTGTAAGGCTATCAGGTGCTTTTTTTTTTTTTTTTTTTTTTTTTTTTTTTTTTTTTTTTTTTTAAACAGGTTTTTTTTTTTTTTTTTTTTTTTTTTTTTGACCTCTGCAATTTTTATTCCAAAGTAGAGAGAACTGTCTTGGAAGGTGTAGCATAAGGGTTCGTCAGAGCCAACCGCTGACAAGTGTGGAAACACACCTGTGCACACCATGAAAAGACGTCCTATCTGTCCATGCATGATGGATGTGGGGATTTCTGCCTCCCAGAGTTCAAGTTCAAATGGTTCGGCTGCTCCTTGCAGACCTTCCTCCAAAGTGTGCTGTCTGGCAGGATCCTTGGGTGCCTGCTGTAGTCTCAGAATCCATTTTATGGACTACCAAGTGCAAGGTCCCTGGCACTGCAGTGGTGCTGAATGTAATATAATGGAAATGTTACCATGCCTCCCCAAAGCTAGATCTGGGTCTAAAGATGCTGCAACAACTGGGTCCACACCCCCGCCACTGCTTTCACACTGGCAGGACCCCAGCCGTTTTTTAGGAGTCACAGATCCCTCCTTCCTTGGAAACCTAGGCCCTATTTGGCCCAGAGGGGTAGGAACAATGGAGATCTCATCTGACCAAAAGTGTGAAATCAGCACCCAGGAAACTCAGTTCACAATCTGGACAATTAAGGAAACTCACCAAACAGAGGCTATGCCACTGACGCGCCTGAAAAGACCAACATGGCTACAGAGTGGGTGGGAGGCAGACAAGGGAGGTGAAGAGGAACACAGACAAGAAGGGAAATAAGACAGAAGACGGTTCAAGTGACAAGAAACTAACATAGACAGCAGATGGAGCAGGACAACCAAAGGGGGCTTAATCCTGAGCAGATTTCCAGTTCTAAAGGATTTTGAGTGTTATGTCTTGCCATGAAGCTACTGTGCCCAGGGCTGGCAGGCTGGCAGGCTGGCAAGGCCTGCGGTAAATGAGAAAATACACTCACCGGGTCTTTCTGGGACTTTCAGTGATTAATCACGTTAGATGGACTTCAAGATACACTGGCTTTATAATAAACTCCACAACACACCGGTATTAGTACAGCCTGAATCCAGGGCTGGTCAGAGAATGGAAAAGGTGGTAGTCCCTGAAAACAGAGTGGTACAAGGACATACACACTAGAGATGTCTCCGCGGTGGCATCTGCCCACACAAGCTGCGTAAAATGAGGGTCATGCTGGCAAGCGCTAATACATTTCAGGGAAGAGAAGAAAACCAAAGAATTAGAGATGCTAAAAATAGGGCTGAGACTGGAATTAGCAAATCACAAATCTTTGCTCACGGCTCCTTTCTGAGGGGCAAAGGCCCCAAAGACCTGATCACCGGTGCTAAGCCGCAGTCTCTGAACCTCAAAAGCCAACCACTCTGTTAACAACCAGAAAAAATCAGTGACTAGGGTCAAGACTGAACACTCCCAGGGAATAACACCGGCCTCACTTTAGAAAGGAGAAACACCCAACTGCAGTGCGGAAAGTCTTACTTGTTATCTGCAACAGCACTGCCATCTTGTTTCCCCTAGGTAGCTGCTTCCAGGGAAAGGTGACAAGTATGGCAGTTAGTCATCTAGAGGTCACTGGGGTGCACGGGAGGTGGCCAGGAGCACCAGCATGTGAATGACCCATATTTAATGACTATTAACATTAATGACTATTTAACATAACGGGTGTGAGAAAAGGAGGCCTCTTTCCTCTCCTTTTCACTTTTGCTCCAGCCTATCAGGAGCCCGAAAGGCAGATGGTAACAAGGTTTGAACCGTGTGGACGGTCCTGCATGCAGGGCTCACTGTGGACACCTTCTCAGGGCATGCATCCGCTGGTAAACAAAGTCACCCAAGCCATTCTTTCCCTCCCTCAGTAAATGTGAGAGTGAGAGAGGCAGAACTGGGACTTCTTCCATTCCCTAAGCACCTCACATGGAGGTGGCACTAGCTCCTCCTCCAAGACGTCACAGAAAACAGAGCAGGTTGGAAACTAGATCACAATCACCCCTGAGTGTCTTCACAGTTAAGACAGGCACACATTTCAAAAGGCAGCCTCTGGGTCCCCTCTCTCTTTCAAGCGCACACACTCACACACACTCGCATGCTGTGGGAATGCTGTTCAGCCGCTGAGCGTGGCTGGCTCATGTCAGGTAATGCACCACAAGGAACATGACCATAAGGGTCACCAGCATCCCGCCGATCATGAAGTACTTGTCCTGGAAAGCCCGCTTCTTGATGAGCCACATCACTAAGCTGGACAAGCCCGTCATGTTGGCAATGTCAAGGATCTTCTTCTGAGTCCCCTTCAAGGTCAGCCTCTGGGTCCTCAGTCCATCTAAAATATTGTGCCCATCTAAAATGAGGTCATCCATGCCGTGGTGAATTTTCTGGAGGGAGGAGTTAAGCTGCAGTGATTCGTCCACTGATATGGCGGTGTCAGAGTCGTTAGTGGTGAAGGTTCAAGACAGAAGCTCTTCTCGCGGTCTCTCCTGCTGTTCCCTTGCATGGTGCTGATGCTGGAAGTTTCTGAGAGCAGTCTGTAGGTGCTAGACATCGTACTTTAACTGGCCAACCCAAAGTTTGGCATTCTGCCTTTGGTTAGGGGGCTCCTTGCTGGACAAAATTTCCGAGTGTTCTAGATGGCTGAATGTCTGGTCTATGCTTGCTTGGATTTCGTTTTCTACTAAGTGCACAGACTGCTTGTCTGCAGTCTCCAGGCGTCCCATGCAAGACTGGATCTCATGGACCTGCTTGTGCGTTTGCTGGTACAGGGGGTCCATGTCGCTGGCCCCACAGGCCACGGTTGTGGCCGGCTATCAGGTTCTTACATTTTACATGAAGTAATAAAATATTAACTCTATGACTCTAAAAAGTTAGGAATATATATTGTAATGTCTAAGCAATCACTTAAAATGCAAAAGGACTAACAGATAATTTTTATAAAACATTAAATTAGCCCAAAAAGAGCCAGGAAGGCAGTACGGAGAACAAATGAGACAAATAGAAAACAAAGAAAAAAATATAGAATTAAAGGCAATCAAGTTAATAATTACATTAAATGTAAAAGGACTCAACACTTCAAATAAAAGACAGAGATTGTCAGAATGAATAAAGAAGACCCAAGTATATGCTGCCTATAAAAGACACAGTTTTAATATAAGGACACTGATAAGTTAAAAATATGAATAGAAAAAGACTATACCATACAAACAGTAAGCATAAGAAGATGGAAGTGGCTATATTAGTGTTAGATAAAGTAGACTTCAGGGCAAAAAAAGAAAGGATTACTGGAGATAAACTAAATGGGAGCCTCTGGAATTAAGCATTAGATTGCTGACTATAGTACATGAATAATCAAAGAAAACAGAAGTAGGGCAGGGGGAAATGTAGTATGTACAGCAATTTTCCCAAATTCCCTGTAGTTTATTTTGAAAATAATTTAAGACAACTTGGTTCAATCACACTGAACTTCCTGGGTTCTCACTAGGAAAGATAAAAGGAAAAATTTCAAAAAATAGGCCCTTCAACTAGAAGGGAAACTTGGAAACACTGAGCTGTGTGGACTCTCCAGCTCTATGTATAATTGACATGAATGGGGAGGACCAGACATTTGTTTAACAAGTATTTATTAAGTTCTCTTCATGTACTAGGCAAGGGATTAAGCGTTTGGTGAACAATTCACACCTAGCCTCTTCCCTCATATTGATAAAACAAATAAGCCAACAAGTCACTATACCAGCTATAAACAGTGATAATTACTTTTTATTAAAATTTTGTTTTACTTTAGATTCTAAGGGTATGCATGCAGGTTTGCTACATGATATATTGCATACTAGTGGGAATTGGGCTCCTAGGGTACCTATTACCTAAATAGGGAACGTTGTACCTGATGGGTAATTTTTCAACCCTCAACCCCTTCCCAACCTCTTCTCTTTTGGGGTCCACAGTGTCTATGATTTCCATCTTTATGTACCTGTATACCCACTGTTTAGCTCCCACTTAGAAGTAAGAACATGCAGTATTTGATTTTCTGTTTCTGAGTTAGCTCACTTAGCATAATAACCTCCAGCTCCATCCATGTTGCTGCAAAGGACATGATTTCATTCTTTTTTACAGCTGCAAATGGTGATGAATATTATCAAGAAAATACTCATGATGCTGAGATACAGAATAACAAATGAAAAACAGGAAACCTGCGCAGGATAGCATGATCAGAGAAGGGCGTCAGAGGAGGTGACATTTAGGAAAAGGCTGCAAAGAGAGACAGGGGTGAGGTCAGGGGAACTGTGTGTGCAAAGGCATTCAGGTAGGAAAGAGCTCAGGAGTTTCTAAAGAATTGACATATGGCCAGAATGGCGGGAGCTCAGAGGAAGGCAAACAAGGACTAAATCTTGTGGGTGAGTTCTATCAAACCTCCAAGGGACATAAAATCCAACCTTATATAATTGTCCATAAAGTAGAAAAAGAAGTAACGCTTTCCTAACTCATTGACAAGGCTAACTTTGTTGCCCAAACCATGAGGATGATACCTAAAAAAATGGAAATTATGAGACAATCTCGCTCATCAAATAGATGTAAAAATTCCAAGTCCAGCAAATAGTAATATTGATATAGGCCTTGGGAAGTATTATGAAATAGCCCAAAGCAGCTTGGAAAACTGATGAAACAATTCATTGTTGCTTTTCGTACTGGAACGTGCTTTCACAATGTTTTTCACTGGAAAATGTGCACCTGACTGAGATGGAAACAAGCTTTTAATGGGTAGCACTCAGGTCCTAAAAACACTAGCTTTCAGATGTTATATTCTAGAAGAGAACTGGCCCTATGCAAATTCATGGATAGGTGAATTTTGCCTTTGGAACTTAGCCCATCTCCCTACCCTCAGCCCACAATTTCACCTTAAATGGTCCTATTACCTTTCCTCTGGGGAAAGGCTTTGGGGTCAGCGTTGGCCATTTACTAGCTATGTAATCTCTCTGCAAAACAGTGGCAATACCCAATTGTTTCAGCTGTTGTATAGTGACTAAATAAAAGAATACATGGTAGATGTATAGTACAGCATTTGGGAAGTAGCAGAAATTCAGTCATTTTTTTCTGTTTGTAGAATGAAAGACATTGCTCTATGTTCTAGGATTGCTGGTCTTTCAGGAGCAGAGAAGTATGATGGAAAATAATGTATTCAATATAAAAATTTAATGACTTACATACAGAGTAATCCATCAACCAGATTTCAAAACATACTTTGAGGGTCAAGTATTTGTCTAAGTCTTAATTTCATTTGTTCCCAGATAGTTTGAATTGCCTTTGACAGCCCTTTTTCTGTCCTAAAAACAATCTCTTTCTTTGCCAACAAAATAAAAGGATCTCATTAAACCTCAGACCTCTTTAATGGCTCAACAAATAATCTTTCCATTGAACCTATTAAATGTAAACATATTACTTTTAAAAGACATATCTTCAAGGTCATTCCTTGAATGATACTCTAAGAGAGTATCAGAGTATCATTAAATCCATACGCAAGCCGTCTTACACTTGATATTTTGGGAGTGCACACTTCAGTCAGACAGGTGGGCTTCAAAAGCAGAACCAGAATTCCACCCTCAAAGAGAGGAGTTCTGTTTATCTGTTTCACAACTAAATAAAGCATACTGATGCCTTTGTGAACTCTCTCTGCCTATTTTCCCACTTTCAATTCTGTAGTAGAGGGGGAAGTGATAGAGTGATTTGGGAGTATATGACATTGCTAAGGCATTCATCATAGAGCCATTATTGGGTACGATGTGTATCACATCACAGGAAGCTTTTGCTCATTTTTTTCCTATAGCTCTTTTCACTGTAGGGCACCCCATGAAAGGGCATCAGCCATAAAGAGGGAAGACTCACTTCTTCTTCTTCTTCTTCTTCTTTTTTTTTAAGACAAGATCTCACTCTGTTGCCCAGGCTGGAGTACAATAGAATGATCATAATCATGGTTCACTGCAGCCTCAATCTCCCACACTCAGGCTCCCACCTCAGCCTCCTGAGTAGCTGGCACTACGGGACTACAGTCACACGCCACCATGCCTGGCTATTTTTTTCTATTATTTGTAGAGATGAGGTCTCCCTATGTTGTGTAGACTGGTCTCAAACTCCTGGGCTCAAGTGCTCCTCCCACCCTGGTCTCCCCAAATGCTAGGATTACAGGTGTGAGCCACGGCACCTGTTCCCCCGTACCTTTTTTTTTTTTTTTTAACACTCCTAGACACTAAATTTCAAACCACAACTAGCCCAAAATTAGCTCCGATAACAAGTTCGTGACTGGATGACTGACCACTTATTTCTATGGATACTGGTTCCCCATGATAGTTACTTGGATTCTGACATTATGCCTAATTATTGATGCACTCCTTACCTGCTTCCCAACCCAAAACAAATTTCTTAACCTCCAGGAAGGCAGGACTGTGATTGGCTCATGACATCTGTGCTTTACTGTCCTTGCCACTGGGAAGGACTCTCAGGGAAGAGGATCAAGACTTAACTATCCCTGTGGGAGCTCTAGAGAAATGAACTGAGGATGTAAAGCTGATCTGATCATCGGAATCACCAAGTCTGGAAGGGGAATAGAAACCTAAGATCTGAGCCATGCATGAATCAACAGCTGAGAATCACACCTGGTGGCCTGGGGGAATTAATTAAGTAGGGTGTAGGGTTCTTAATGATTTGGGCTCTCACATCACCACCGATGACTGCTGTGATCCTATTTCTAAGGCAGTTCTGTCTGGTTGGAAGAAGTGAACAGCCAATAACTTGAGGACATGAAAAACCCAAATCAGTCCCCCCAGTAAAGAGATCCTATTAGACCCAAGACTTTCTCTTAATGATTTGATTCATATTCAATGGGCTGAATAGACCAAATGTAATCATATTGCTTTTAAAGGGCACTTGTCCTTTCCGCCAGCAAGATTCACTAAGAAAAAGCAAGAGTTGACAATGCATTCTAAATCATTTTGACCTCTACCTGGTTGTACCCCAACCAGTCCAGTTGTCCATCCACTCATTAGATGAACTAGTTCAGCAATGACTAAAATTGTCTATCAGCCCTACTATGTAGGTAGACCCTACATCCTCACAGCCATCTTTATTCCTCCCTGTCATAAACCATATCCTTTTTTCCCCTTTAGAAACAGAGTACCAGATGCAAATGCTATGATGAAATCCAGCTCAAGTGGCAGTGATCTGTCCAAGTTTTGTAAAGGCAACATCTGTGCATAGTAGGGCCAGTCTGTGTTTCTGAAACTCACCTACATCCTTAATTATGTCACCTACTGGAATCTTCCTTCAGATTCTACCTTGCTTCCAGGGTATGAGTCCTTATGACCACAGTCTTCCTCTAAGGTGACCTCCAGCCTCTGCCAAGCTCAACTCTTGCCAATGAGCCAACGTACTTAGCACCCCCCAACTACACAAAGACTCAGCTCAGATTCTACCCAAGTCCTTAGCCATGATATTGCCCAAGAAATATAAAAGGGAGAATGCGCTGTGTCTAAATATAGCCCCTAGGAAGTTCCATTTGCTAACATCTTCATCTTGCAATACTCATGTGAGGGCTTTGCGCCTTCACACCAATCACTAATAAAGCTTAGCTCTCTGGGAAGCCAGCCCATTCTCACCTTTGCCTAATATAAATCTGTACCAGGGTGAGAATCTAGGAAGGAGAGGGTCAGAAAATGTACTTCTTTCCTCTAAAAAGGAAGACACATATTCCCCAGGTCAAATTAAAAAAATAATTCAAGAAGAAAATTCTTGCTCTTTCCTAACCTTTATTCATAAGGTTC